CTCAACCCGGGGCGTGGTCCCACTAGCAAAGAGGATCGGATCGAATACCTGAATCTGGACGTGTTTGTAAACAGGTGCAGGAAATCGAGATTGAACTGCTTTTCTGCATCTCTGCATAAAACACATCCAGATTCAGGCATTCGATCCGATCCTCTTTGCTAGTGGGACCTCGGCCCCGGTAGTGAAGCTTGTGCTGGAAATCGGGTCCAGCGTCCCATGGTCTGCAACTACAAAGAAGTATTTCATTATCATATCATCATTATCATCATGATGGTCATCATCATCATCATTTGTCATCATTATCATCATTTCACGATGATCATAATCATTGTCATTATTTCACGACCCTCATTTCATCACCATCACCATCATCATCATCATCATCATCATCATCATCATCATCTTCTGCAGTCTCATTGTCACAATGTCATCATCATCATCATCATCATCAGCAGCAGCAGCAGCAGCAGCACCAGTATTGTGATGGTCACGATACTATCCTCATCACTGTCATGGTCATTGTTTCTTTCTTTCCACCATCATCATCATCACATTGAGGTGGTACTTGTTTTGATCAATCCTCCTCCTCCTCCTCCTCATCATCACCATAATCATCATCAGCAGCGTAGCGTCTGGCATTCTTCTTCTCCTCCTCCTCCTCCTCCTCCTCCTCCTCCTAATCGTCATCATCATCATCATCGACGTCTTGCCATTCTTCTTTTTCTCTCTTCCCTCCTCCTCCATCTCTTTCCTCTCCTCCTCCTCCTGCTTCCCCATCTTCTTCCCCTTCCCCCCCTCCTCCTCCCCCTCCTCCTTCCCCATCTTTTTCCCCTTCCCCCTCTCCTTCCCCTCGTCCTCTTCCTCGTCGTCCTCATCCTCCTTTCCCATCTTCTTCCCCCTCTCTTCACTTCTCCTCTCCTCCTCCTCCTCCTCCTCCTCCTTCCCCATCTTCTTCCCCTTCCCCCTCTCCTCTACTCCTCCTCATCATCATCACCATCTTATCATTCTTCTTCTTCTTCTTCCTCCTCCTCCTCCTCTCTCGTCATCATCTCCATCTTATCATTCTTCTTCTTCTTCTTCTTCTTCTTCTTCTTCTTCTTCTTCTTCTTCTTCTTCTTCTTTCCCCTGCCCCTTCTCCTTCTTCGTCTCCTCCCTTCTCCTCCTCCTCCTTCCTTTCTGCCACTTTTGCCGGTGAAAGACTTTACCCCTTTGGTACTTGACCCCTTTGAAGGACCATCAAGACCCTTTAAGCATTATCGATGGCTTTGGAACCTTTGGGATGCTCAAGTTGTGTTAAAAATTAAAATTCTTTGGGACTAAAGTCGTTGTGTTTTTTTTTTTTGGGACCATCAAGACCTGGACCGCGGCAGTGCAGTTTTTTGC